CGCCGCAGGGGCGACGCGCGCTGACGCGAGGGCCCCAACGGGGGGCGGCTGCTCCGTTGCTGGCGGTGCCTGCGCCGCTGCAGTCCGCAGCCCGCGGTCGCCGTGGAGCACTTCGCGCTGGCGGATTTGGCGTGGTTCGTTTCGAGCGCGCAGCGGATGCGGCCGCGAGGGCAGAGGGCGCGGTCGACCTCCCGAGTTGGGGGCAAGCGCGCGATCTCAACGCGGGCGAGCTGTTCCGTGGTCTCGCTGAGGTCACGGCGGAGATCGCCAGTTCAGCCCCGCCCGCGCTTTCCACGACTTTTCGCGCGAGGGCCGACTGCAAGCAGATGTGAAGCTCGACGTTTGGAATCTTTTCGTGATGCAGCTAGAGGGTCTTGCGTGGAACCCCTCGTCCTCGTCTTCCAGGCTTCCTTCGCGGTCGACTACGTGTCCGTTTCGTTCGGCTACGAGGCCAGGGAAGCGAGGCGCGTTTTTGATCACATCGTGGTTTGTCTCATTTCATATCATCACCTATCCTTTTCTCCCTCCTCCTCCCCTTCCCATCTTCCTGATCATTCCTCAGTATTGCTTATTTCCTCCTCCTCGAAGAAGAAGAAGAAGACACCATATATGGTCAACATAAGAAGAGATACTGATATCACAACAACAACAACAACAACAACAACAACAACAACAATTACTAGCACGTGGGGACACTCCGTTCTCACCAGTGCCAGGGTTTTCATAGGAGGCGGGCAATACCCCCACTTTGTGGGGGGGCCGGTTCAAGCTCTACCAAATTTCCAAACGACTCTTCGCCACCACCCACACCCAGCTTCCCGCCCTATGACGTTCGGACACTTCACTTCGTGGCATGCGGACGACCGTGGCTACTATTCAGGGCCCCGCGGCCGACGACGACGGCGTGCGCGCGCGAAGAAAAAACGAATGTGTCCCGCATGGTATTATTTGACAGGGATGATGGCCCTGGCAGGTGCGCAACCGTTGTTGCAGAAGTTCGAAAAAGTTGCTCGCAAAAGCCCGTTTGACAGAAATGTTTAAAAAGTGTTGGGTTTCCTACGAATCCGCAAGAGCGCGCGGGATGAGATTTTGACATTTTTTGTTGAAAAACCATTGGTTTTTTGATGTTTTTATGTTAAAATCGCTACGAACACTAAGGTTTTGGAAGGATTTCGTCTTGCGCGCGCGAATGTCCACTTTACCTTATTTTTTGCAAGGGATTCTTGAAGTTTGGTTATGTTAGAACAAGAAATGTCCACTTTAGCTTATTTTTTGCAAGGGAAAGCGGATCGTAACAAAACAACCGGATCCGGACAACCCGTTTTGCCTGAGACTTCCTCACGAAAATGATGAAAATGTAGGCTGCGGCCTAGGCGCGGCGGGGGGGCGCGCACCAGGGGGCCCAACAATAATTATTCTTTAGAAGTAATAATGTTCAACAACAACAACAACAACAATTACTAGCACGTGGGGACACTCCGTTCTCACCAGTGCCAGGGTTTTCATAGGAGGCGGGCAATACCCCCACTTTGTGGGGGGGCCGGTTCAAGCTCTACCAAATTTCCAAACGACTCTTCGCCACCACCCACACCCAGCTTCCCGCCCTATGACGTTCGGACACTTCACTTCGTGGCATGCGGACGACCGTGGCTACTATTCAGGGCCCCGCGGCCGACGACGACGGCGTGCGCGCGCGAAGAAAAAACGAATGTGTCCCGCATGGTATTATTTGACAGGGATGATGGCCCTGGCAGGTGCGCAACCGTTGTTGCAGAAGTTCGAAAAAGTTGCTCGCAAAAGCCCGTTTGACAGAAATGTTTAAAAAGTGTTGGGTTTCCTACGAATCCGCAAGAGCGCGCGGGATGAAATTTTGACATTTTTTGTTTGAAAAACCATTGTTTTTTTTTGATGTTTTTATGTTAAAATCGCTACGAAAACTAAGGTTTTGGAAGGATTTCGTCTTGCGCGCGCGAATGTCCACTTTACCTTATTTTTTGCAAGGGATTCTTGAAGTTTGGTTATGTTAGAACAAGAAATGTCCACTTTAGCTTATTTTTTGCAAGGGAAAACCGATCGTAACAACACAACCGGATCTGGTACACATCGTTTTGCCTGAGACTTCCTCACGAAAATGATGAAAATGAGGCTGCGGCCTAGGCGCGGCGGGGGGGCCGCGCACCAGGGGCCCCAACAATAATTATTCTTAAGAAGAAATAATGTTCAACAACAACAACAACAACAACAACAACAACAACAACAACAACAACAACAACCAGCAACAGCAGCAACAGCAACAGCAGCAGCAGCAATAATAACAATACTGTTGCGACTGTTTGCGTTCATGCATTCGCGTGCAGGTTCGCATGTGTATCCCAAGCCCTCGCTGCCCGCCCTCTTCGTCTTCGATCGTACCCCACCTTTGGGGCATATCGTCCTCACTTGCCACGCGTACCTGGCGCAGCCCCATCAGGGGAAGGGAAGAGGGAAGAAATAAGGGAACGGGAGAAGGATGGAGCACGAGCGGTCGGGCGGGCGGACCCTAACTGGCGGGTCGGGTTGGCGGGCCCAGACGGTCGGGTCAAGCGGGCGGAGGAGGAGGAGGAGGAGGAGGCGGAGGCGGAGGCGGAGGCGGAGGCGGAGGCGGAGACGGAGGAGGCGCTGAAGCGTCAATCCAAGATTAATCGCCACGAAGTCTGGGGCGATAGCGCGATGCCCAAGGAAATCGTGAGGAAGTGCCAAGCGAGAGTGTGATTCGAGCGAGTGTCGGAGGCGCGGCGTCTCCAGACACCAGGGGAAAGCATCCGGCGAAAGCGCGATGTTTGAATAAAGTGTGAGGAAGTTGCGCGCGAGAGCGCGATCTTGAGTAAATTGTGAGGACGTCTGAGGTGGGAGCCGTTGGTGTGGTAGTTCGGGGGCCAACATCGCAATTTGCGGCGCAAGACTTTCCTCAGTAGACACCGGGTGGCGCATTTTCAGTTAAAAACGCATTGGGTTCGGGCAGGGGGGCATCCAATTATATTTAATCGTTTCGCTCATTCCGCCGGCCCGTACTGTGCCATCGCAGGCGTTTGCTTGCGCGTTCGTGGCCTCTTGGAGCTTCGGTGGGGCCGTTTGGGGCCTCTTGGCGCCTCTTTTTAGGCCTCTTGGAGAACTCGGGAGGCCTCCAGGGGGCCTCCTGAGCTCTCGTGACGGTCTCTTGGGGGGCTTTCGGCGGGCTCTTGGCGGTATTTGTTGGTCCTCTTGGGGCCTGGGGCTTGACGTTGTTGGTCCTCTTGGGGCCTCACGGGAGCTTATTGGGGCGTCTTGGGGGTGTCTTGGAGAGTCTCTTGGGGCCTCTTTCGGGGTCCTGGGCGCCTTCTGGGGCGGAGGGCTCGATTTTTCAGTTCTCGGTTCCCTTCTTGAGCCCCTCTTGGGCCCGTCTTGGGGCCTCTTGGTCCGCCTTGGGCAGCACTTGGGCCGTCTGGGGGGCGCTCTTGGGCCGCTCCGGGGCCGTCTTGGGAGCCTCGTGGGCCGTCTTGGAGCAGTCTTGAAGGCCTCTTGGGCCCTCTTGGAGCGTCCGGAAGCGAAAAGGCCAGAACGCAAAAAAACATCGAAAAAACAAATGAAAATCAACGATTTTGGCAACTTGGGGCCCTCTTCGGAGGCCTCTTGGAAGGCCCTTGGAGCGTCTTGGAGGCCTCTTGGGCTGTCTTGGGGCCATCTGGGGCGTCTTCGGGCGATCTTTGGCCGTCTCGGGCCTCTCTTGGACCGTCTAGAAAGCTTCTCGGGGCCCTCTCGGACCGATCTGGAGCCCTCTTGGACTCCGAAACAGAACTCCGGCATCTCTGGCCCGACCTTGCCGGGACCTTGCCGGGGATTTGCCGGGACCTTGCCGGGGTACTTTTCGCCCGGGGACCCCCAGGGGCCGCCCCGCGCGCGCGAACTAGAACTACTGTTAACCAGGTACCGGAGATCTTAGCACGCCCTGGCCCGTTGGGACGGCGAATTTTTAAGAGCGAGAATTCAACAACAAATAAGATAAGCAGAAGCTTTCGACGGTCCGCGCGGATTTCTGGGATCTGCGCTGGCCCCCCCTGGCGGCGCCTCTCGCGCCGCCCCCAGCGCGAGCCGCGCGCGAAGGGCGGGGGTCCAGCGAAGATCCAAGAAATCTGCGCCAGCCGTCGAAAGCTGATGTCTATGCTGCTGTCGCTTCCTCTGCAATCCCCACTGGGCCATCCCAATCGTGCCCTGAGGTCTGGGCGTCGCATTTTGTTCGCACTGGGCGCGTTCTCACCCCGTTTTCGAGCCCCAGGGCCATCACAGATCGATCCAGCTCGACACACTCCGCAGAAAAATGGGATCTAGGTCTCCGGTCGTGAACTTTCTCCACGCCGATGCCGCCCATGCATCGGCGACGTCGCTGATGCATCGCCGATGTATCGCCGATGCGTCGGCGATGAGGCGCGACGATCATCCGATCCCATCACCTCGGACCCCTTATGAAGCCTCTAGCATCGTCTTGCCTCATCCATTGGGACATGCCAAACATGCTCGCGTCGTGAAAGATTTACGGCGGAAGGTTTTCGGCCTCCACGGGCCTTCGCCAGGCCCCCGGACCGTCAGAAGACAGTTCAGGATGAAAAGCCAGCCTTGGGGAAAGGGTCGGGAATTCCAGGGACCGCGCATTGAACAACACCAAGACATCGCATGTCGGTAATTGTATCTTAGCCCCACCGTCCCATCACCCCACTTGGGGATAGGCCCCTTGAAACCCCAAAGAGGGCAGCCAATGTCCTGTATCCAAGGGCGCCCTCGAGGGCGCGAAGTTATTCGCGCTTCGCGCTTCGCGGTTCGGCTCCGATGCCTCCCCGTCCCCCTCTTCTCCCCTGGGAGGCGGCGCGAGAGCGCGAAGTTATTCGCACTTCGCGCTTCGCGCAGCGCGAAGCGCGAAGTTGGGAGCCCTTGTGTATCCCCATCTGGAGGGGGGAGATCGACAGGGATGATTTCCTCCATGCTCGGAGGCCCTGCGGTGCTACGAGAGGGCCCTGCAGCTCCGTGAACGGGTGCTGGATCTCGAGGGAGGGAAGCGCTGACTTCGGACCCTCCGTACTTCCCAGACCTCCTCGCGTCGTGAAAAAATCACGACGGGAGGTTTTTCGCTATTTTCGGCCTCCGCGGGCCCTCGCCGGGCCTCGGGACCGTCAAAAAACGACTCAGGACGAAAAACCGGTCCCGGGGAATGGGTCGGGACCTCTGGGGGTCGCGTCATGAAAAAATCATGACGTCGGGGGTCTGGGTTTGGTGCATGCTCGGGAACAAGTGAGGCGGAAATGTTCGCGCGGATCTGTCCGCAGAGGCATGGCGGAGCCAGCGACGGCAAAGTTGGGCGGACACCGGCATCAAAGGAGCTGGGAAGGCAGGGCGGAAAGTTCCGCCTCACTTGCGAAATCGCCCCACAAGTACGGCGGACCCGCAGTCAGGGAGGGGGATGAGCGGTGGAAGAGCAGGAAGACGAGGAGGAGGAGGGGGAGGAGGAGGAGGAGGAGGAGGAGGAGGAGGGTGGAGGAGGGAGGAGGAGGGAGGAGGAGGGAGGAGGAGGAGGAGGAGGAGGACGAGGAGGAGGACGAGGGAACACGGTGCACAGGCTCGCCTGGCGAGGGGGCTTCCTCATGAGATCCGAGCGCTGCGTCCCCTCGTCCCGCCGGGCGCTTCGCCCGAGCTCGGGGCCCGCGGCCCTCGCAGACCCATCCGGCTCGAAGAGTGCCCGGGTCCCCAGACCCCCGACGTCGTGGTCTCCTCTGCAGCGTCGGCCCCCCGAGGTCTCGACCCCTTCCCCGGGACTGGCTTCTCATCCCGAGCCGTTTCGTGGACGGTCCCGAGGCCCAGTCCAGGGACCCCGGGGGCCGGCAGTCGCGAATAGAGCCTCCCGTCGTGTTTTTTTTTGTTTCACGGCGCGAGGGGGTCCGGGGTTTCTGTTCGCGGAGCTGGGTCTGTCCGTCCGTCCGTCTGTTGGCCGGGGCTGTCCTTGCCTGTCGTCCTCCCTCCCTCTCCCCCTTCCCCCCCTCGCTCCTCGGCTCCTCGCTCTCTTGCCCGCTTCTGCCCCTTGCCTGGCCCGCGCTTCTCCGTCGGCCCGTCCCCGTGTCCGACGAAGAGCCGCGCCGCCCCGCGCCGCCACGCTGGCGAAGAGCCCTGCGTGGGGTTTCCGATTGATTCCCAGAGATCCGACGTCGTGGTTTTTTCAATACGGGGTCCCCAGGAGTCTCGACCCATTCCCCGGGACTGGCTTCTCATCCTGAGTCGTCTTTTGACGGTCCCGGGGCCCGGCGAGGGCCCCTCGAGGCCGAAAGGTATGAAGAACCTCCCGTCTTGATGTTTTTTCAATACGTTGGATCATCTCTGGCTTCGCCCTCTTGGACGAGAGGCTGGCGCTGGGTCTCTTGGGGAGGGCGGGCGGGGGAGCGATCCCGACTGGATGGAGCTCGCCGCGGGCAGCTCGTAACCATTCACGCGCGTTCTGGCCGGCAGTTCCGCCAACCCCTGGCGAGCGCGACTGCGTGGAGCTCGCTGCGCACACCTCAGGCCCGCCCGAGCTCTGGGGGCGCGGCGCGCCGGGCTCGGCAGGGGCTCGCGGCCCTCCTGGAGGGCCCCGGGCGTCCAGTGCCGGGCGGGCTCCCCGGTGCCGGGCGGGCTCCCAGGGCCCTCGCTGGGCCTCGGGGCCGTCAGAACACGACCCAGGACGAAAAACTGGTCCCGGGGAATGGGTCCAGATTTCTGGGGGTCGCGTCATGAAAAATTCATGGCGTCGGGGGTCTGGGGACCTTCTGGCACCTCGATCTTGTGGGCCGCGGGCGCTCTCGGGGCCGCGAGGGCCCTCGCGGATATCGATATCCAGCTCGAGGAATGGCGCAGAAAGATATGTGGCCAGACGCCCGCCTCCTCCTCCTCCTCCTCCTCCTCCTCCTCCTCCTCCTCCTCCTCCTCCTCCTCCTCCTCCTCCTCCTCCTCCTCCTCCTCCTCCTCCTCCCTCCTCCTCCTCCTCCTCCTCCTCCTCCTCCTCCTCCCTCCTCCTCCTCCTCCTCCTCCTCCTCCTCCTCCTCCTCCTCCTCCTCCTCCTCCTCCTCCTCCTCCTCCCTCCTCCCTCCCCTCCCCTTTCCCTCCTCCTCCTCCTCCTCCTCCTCCTCCTCCTCCTCCTCCTCCCTCCTCCCTCCTCCTCCTCCTTCCTCCTCCTCCTCCTCCTCCTCCTCCTCCTCCTCCTCCCTCCTCTTCCTCCTCCTCCTCCTCCTCCTCCTCCTCCTCCTCCTCGATGCCAGATGGGGTCTGGGGCTCCGGCCGTGCCCGTTTGCGATGTCTTGCAGTTGTCTGCGAGGGAGGATCTCAGGGCTTGCCTCTTGTCCGATGCATGTTCCGCTTGGAACGGCTCGGGCCCTCTTCCCAGACCTCCTCGCGTCGTGAAAAAATCACGACGGGAGGTTTTTCGCTATTTTCGGCCTCCGGGGGCCCTCGCCGGGCCTCGGGGCCGTCAAAAAACGAGTCAGGACGAAAAACCGGTCCCGGGGAATGGGTCGGGACCTCTGGGGGTCGCGTCATGAAAAAATCATGACGTCGGGGGTCTGGGTTGTCTCCGACGTCCTCCGATGTGAGCGATCTGCCTGTATCCCGTGTTATCCGATCTTGAGCGGATTTGCCCTGGCCGATGTGCCCCCTCTGGACCGGCTCTATATCCTGGGCTTCTCCAGCTCAGACCCCCTGGCCGCCTCGAGCGGGAAAACGTGCACACGTCGAGTTCGCGTCGCGCCGACGTGGCTGCGACCTCAGCGTGGGCGCCCAAGGCTGAGCGCCGCCAGCGGCCCAGAGTCGGCCAACGTCGAGCGATCCGGCGAGCGAAGAGCTGTCGACCGCTCCAGGCTGGGCGATCCGCGATGTGCCAGAAGCCAGCGCCAGGGCCTTCACGGCAAGAGCCTGCCGAAGGCACAGGCGTCCGAGGGCCCGCGCGGATTCCTTGGATCCTCGCTGGGGCCCCTGGCGGCGCCTCCGGCGGCGCCCCTGGGGCGCTCCGCGCGCCAAGGGGAAGGGGAGGAGGCCGATGCGAAGGGTCGCCTACGAGCGAAGGGGAAGGGCCGCTGCGAATTCACTCGCGCGGACCAGGAAGCGCCAAGGGTCTGGCGCCGATGCGAGAGGCCCGCGAGAGGACCTGCGAAGCAGTCTGGTCTCCGCCGTGCTCCCTCCTCCCAGGACCCGAGCTCGCCTCAGCTCGCCGCCACGCTGAACAACCTGGGGGCCGTCTCCCAGCAGCTCCGGCGGCATGGGGACGCCGTGGGCTACTACGAGCGCGCGCACGGCATCCAGTCCACCGCGTACGGGCCCCAGCATCCGACCACGGCGGCCACGCTCGGCAACCTCGGCTCCGCCCACAGCCAGCTCGGCGAGCACCGCCGGGCGGTGGGGTGCCTCGGGGACGCCCTGGCCGCCCAGGAATGGGAGGGCCCCAGGCTGCGCGCAGACAGCGCCCCCAGGCAACCAGTCCCAGCTGGCCTCAACATGCCCCCCGAGTGTCAGGAGGGGGAAAAACACACAGACACAATTGATCGTCCACTCCCCCCCAAAAAATGTATGGGAAAATATGGGAAGAGGGGGGGAAGACGAAGACCCAGAAGATCAGGGAAACAATATGGGGAGCCCTGTTATTTGTGTGTGCGTTTATTTGCGTGTCCCAGGGCCCCTGCAGAGTGGTCTGAGGCGGTCTCAACACTCTGGCGCCGCCTCCGGCGGCGCCCCCATGGGGCGCTCCGCGCCCCAGGGCTCTGGTGCGGAGACCGCCCGCCCGGAGGCCAGCCTGGACTGCCCGGGGGGGGGGGGGACCGCTCTCCCGGCGCTTGGGCATCGCTCGGACGTGTGCATTTTTCCTTCGGCGAGGACCATGGAGGAGCATCCTTGATCATCTGGCGAACAAGCCACGCACGAAAAACCGAGCAAAAACAGGGAATGGGCGTCCGAGCGATGGCGAAGCGCAGCCCGAAGCCTCGCGGGCTCAGGAGGCGGCCCTGGGGCCCGAGCACACGAGCGTCGCGACGACGCTGCACAACCTCGGGAACGCCATGGCGGCCGCTGGCGCGGGGGCCGACGCGGCGCGCTGCCACTGGCGGGCCCTGGAGCTCTGGTCGCGGGCCCTGGGCCCTGCCCACCCAGACTCAAGTCGGGCCTGTCCCTCTACAGGGGGGACAAAAAAACACAAGAAACACAAAAATCAGAGCGTGAATTACCTACCCCGCTTTCGCTTCCAGGGAAAACCAAGCCATACCACGCGCCTCCTCGTCAAGCGGCCTGACCAGTACAGGCTGCAATTTGGCATCGTTTGGTATCTCTTGGAAGCGAGGTTGATCAAAAGCGAGGTAGGTTTGTTTTTTCCCTAAAAACAGAAAAAGAAAAAAGAATAGTCAAAAAGATAGTCTGGTGACTAGTTTTCAGTAGTTTGGGGCACCTGTTGAGCATTTTGGGGGGTATTTTGTTTTGGTTTTTCGCCCGAAGCCCCCCCCTGTAGGGGGACACGCCCGACTTGAGCCCAGACGTGGCCGCCACTCTGCACAGCCTGGGCAACGTGTACCGGGGCCTCGGGGAGCCGGAGGCCGCCGCAGCGTGCTTCGGGGGCGCCCTGCGGATCCGCGAGGCGGCCCTGGGCGCGACGCACCCGGAGACGGCGAGGACCCGCCACTGCGCCGCGCTGGTGGTCAGCCACGCGCAGAGGGGGGTGGGGGGAGGGGGGAGGGCTTCTTCCCAGACCCCCTCGAGTAATGAAAAAATCATGACAGGAGGTTTTTCGCCATTTTCGGCCTCTGGGGGCCCTCACCGGGCCTCGGGACCGTCAAAAAACGACTCGGGATGAAAAACCGGTCCCGGGGAATGGGTCTGGACCTCTGGGGGTCGCGTCGGGAAAAAATCATGACGTCGGGGGTCTGGGAGGGGGGTGGGGGGAGGGGGGAGGGCTTCTTAGAAGCACCCCTGCTTCTTGGAAGGCGCGGGCCTC